AACAGCGGCTCTAAATGACACACTGGATCAGATGGATTTAATTGACATTTATAGAACATTTCACCCCAAAGCTGCAGAATATAAAACTTCTCAAGTGCACATGGGTCATTCCCAAAGATAGACCACATGTTAGGACACAAAACAAGTCCCTACAAGTTCAAGAGGACTGAAATCATATCAAGCATCTTCTGAAAACATACATAATAGACAGGGAGAATGAAATGAGTGATAATGCAAGAAGTCAAATGAGTATTTCCACTTATCTATGCAGATATAAAGGGAATGGTCAGAGTGACATACAATATATTTAACAGCTAATATGATATAGCCTTAGACTAAATTGTTGTAGATTATGAATCAAAAAGAAGGCCTTGCGGGGTTCTATACCTGTGAGTGGACACCCGTGTCCTTTCCAACTTTTTATTTGACTTGCAAGGCTGAAATTCTCTTTGGTACTTGGGGACCTGGTGTGGGACTGGATTAATTTGCATAAGTTGCTCAGAGATGCGAATTCCCATCTTGGCTTCCTCAAGTCATCAATATATGGACATTGGTTTCGAGTTATTCTGATATTTTGTAGATAGAAAGGGCAATAAAGGACTGGAAGATAAATCTACAAGAGGAGAGAAGGAGTCCAGCTGGGGTCAATAAAAAGGCTCATGGGTTGGTAGGAGAAGGCTGGTTAGGCCACAGCAAGTGACCACAACTGGAACTCACTCTCAACCCAGGCCCCATGTTAAGGATCCCTGCCGGATGCCACTGCCTCCCTTACATGGATTTTCCCAGCAATGCCAAGTGATTTCGCATTTGGAAACCTAGGACTACACAGAGCAGACATTCATTCACATGGGCACTACAGTGAAAGAGTCGCAGGGTTGTGTCAAGACATTGCTTTGTACTTTGCAGTGTTTGTGTGCCTTGTATGGGGGTCTGCCAGCCACTCTTCCCAACAGATCCAATTTCTCAGGGACTAGGTGGGTCATGATTTAATCTACCCAGCCACACAGAGCAGACATTTCTTTGGATTTTTGGCACTTGAAAGCATGGCTTTTTATGGCTTTTGTAGGTTTTCCCTTAAGGTAAGAAATTCATGAACACTAATTGGAAGTTTTATAAAATTCTTTCTTTCAAACACCTGTTATACAATTTATTTCATTTTTTTAATATGTAAGTGTGAATGAAACAGCCAAAGTAAAACAAATGGCTTTTCCTTGATAGAAGTGTTAGTAGAAATGTTTCTGTTTTACACATGGAAAGCTGTCAAATTGAGGCCTAATTACTTCCCAGTTTTCAACAGGTGGTTCTTAAGGGCAAAGCAGTATTACACATTTAATAAGAACAGGAGCTAATGAGGTGGACTTAGATATTTGATTATTTAAGTATGTAATTGCACTTTTCAATATAATTAGAAATAAATTTGAATGTGTAAAGTAATAGATGTGTTTTTACATAAGTAAATGTAATTCAATGCAATCAATTACATTAAGGGCATTATTTCTCAATTCACAGCAATATAACTTTATAATTATTTATCTTAATATTTTTTCTGACAAGGGCAAATAATGTGTAATCAAAAGTCACGTTTTAATACACATGAGATGCCAAGTATAATTCTATTTAGATAAAATTTATGGAAGCAAATACTAATATTCCAATAGTCTAAAAAAATAAAATCAGCATCCTTCCTATGCTATTGAGAATTAACCCTAGCATTTTTATAGGGGTATATTACAAATTTATATTAAAAAGGAATTGTGAAGCATTTGAACAAACTACTATTTTTCACAAACTTTAATACAGAGGAATTCAGTTATATCTGAACTCCTTTGAAGTGAATAAAAAACAAGACTTAGCATCACTATAAAATAGCAGTTTCTTCCAAAATGGTAATTTTAAGTGTAAAACTAGACTATACTTTACATATTTCACAGGCCATATTATTTTTCACATGTAAATAATCCTATAGACACCAGGTAAATATAATACCTTTTTCTAATTACCATTATTTCATTATATATACATTCAAAATAGTATATAACTGATACATAATTTATACATATGGGACTATATCCTGGGGGTTATAAGTTTTCTCCTCAGGTTAACACATGGTAGTGTCTTTCTGAAAAGGAATAATGACATAGAACTTTCCTCTAGAGATAATCAATCTCAACCTCCCTCCCTCCCTCCCTTCTTCCATTCCCTCTCTTGGTACCTCTCCTTTGCTGTCTTTAAAGAAGCAAGACATATGGATCCCTGAGCCACTAGGAAATGAATTCTGCCAACTTGGGAGAAATTGGAAGCAGCTCCTTTTTCAAATGAACCTCTGTGGAGAACCCAGCACTAGTCAATGCCTTATTGAAAACTTGATAGGCCTTAAGCCAGTGGTTCTCAACCTTCCTAATGCCGCGACCCTTTAATACAGTTCCTCATGTTGTGGTGACCCCCAACCATAAAATTATTTTCGTTGCTACTTCATAACTGTAATTTTGCTACTGTTATGAATCGTAATGTAAATATCTGATATGCAGGATGTATTTAGGTGACCCCTGTGAAAGGGTCGTTCGACCCCCAAAGGGGTCGCGACCCACAGGTTGAGAACCGCTGCCTTAAGCAGAGGACCCATCTAGGTCATATCTGGACCTCTGATCCATTAAAAATGTGACATAATACATTTGTATTGTTTTAACCCTCTCCGTATTTGGAAATTTGTTATGCAACAATAGATCAATACAGATAGGGCCACAGCAAGGTTAGGCATGCTTTCACTCTGCTTCCATGGAACTTCCTTAGGCAGCCGTTATAGAATGTACCCACCACTAATGTAACTCTGCATATTCTTGAGGGTAAGCCCTTTGTTTAGCTACTAGAGGACTGATATCGTTATCTATGTTTCTAAAGTCTTCAGCTGCCATCAAGTCCCCTGTACTAATTATTCCATCAGAGTGTCAGGCCAAGATGCAAGTGTACACCACAGTTTTGTCCTCACCATTTTGTTGCTAAGGATAATGATGCAGTAGCGTATCTGCATGTCAAAGGGAACAAAGAAGAGCTCCAGGCTTGAAGTCCCTTTTGGTCCTGCTTTCAGGTGAACAGTCGGTGATGGGCAGAAGAACTCTCTGATGAAACTGGACCTAATTGCTGCCAAAACATGAAGCAGAGTTTGTTTACATAACATTGCATAAGTGTCATTCAAATAAAGCAGCTGTTTCAATTAGTGAGTAAAGCTTTCAGATGCATCACAAAAATGTTTCAAGCATTAGCACACAAATTTAAAAGATAATACATATATTTGTTAATAAAAGTACCGGTGACCCTAGCACAAGCTTGATCTAATATAAAACGTATAATTATGATGCAGTATTAAAAATGCTTAATAAATAATTTCTTTACAAAGGGAACTTCACTAGTGTTTAAAATCAGCTTGATATACAATTATAATCACCAAAGTGATCATCAAAGAATCTTTACAATTTTGGAGGACTATGTAATGGTTCACATTACAGGAAGTAGTAGAAAACTTGAACTGTTGGTTTTAAAACATGTCCACACATTCTTCCACATTTCCTTGAATGTGGTGATATGGTAGGCCAGTTTTAGTGATTTGGTCCCAACGAACAGTATGCTAGAATGTAGCAAAAGTCAAGCAGTGTGACTCCTGACATCAGATCAGAAAATGTAATATACCTTCTTCTTAATTCTCTCTCTTTCTTGGTTCTCTTGCTGTTAGAATCAAGTTGTTATCCTGTGAGGAAGCCTAGGCCACATGGAGAGGCCAAATATAAGTGTCCAGGCCAATAGCCCCACCTGAGGTACCAGACGAAAGGCATTAGTCACCAGACATGTGAGTGAGGAAGCCTTTGGAATGACTCAAGCCCCAGCCTCGATCTGACCTCAATTGCAAGAGTCTCATTAGCTGAGGCCAGTCACCTCAGAAATGTGAGAAATACTAACCACATTACATTTTCATTGTTTAATGCCACTACATTTGGAGTGATTTATCTGTAGGTATTGATAACCAGAACATTCCTATATCTGTTTTCCTGTCATTCTATCCAAATTTTCTAAATCTATAGTTATTTCATAAAACAAAATAATCAGTGTTCACCTTATAGTAATTTTAAACATGGTGATACCTATCACCTAAATAGACTTAAGCAGTTCAGAATTAGCCAAAGGAAACATAAAGATCATTTATCTAAATACATTCATTGTAAGGGTGAGGAAACCCAGCAGTGAAAGGAAAAGATTTGGGCAGAGTTCACCAAACGGTCATAAAAAGGCTGAGGACCAACATTTTGGGTTCCCATTCAGCCTGCAATCCTCAGGGCTTGCCATTCTATCTATACTAGTTTCAATTCATAGTATGTTCTGTACATAAAATAAGAATAATACATGAAAACCAATGTTTTAATTTGAGGTACTCACAGGTTTTTAAGGTTTTGGGGGCAGTATCCTGTTCACTGTCATTCTCAGAATCACTGTCATAAGGGAATAGAAAAACACCATCAATAACACAAACAAAACTCAAAAACAATTATCTGTTTTAATTTAATCTTACAGATCCCTAAAACTAAGGCTACATACGATATGATGTGCAAAGACCACAGATTTCTTTCATGTATCATTTTAACATTTATATTGTTTTAGAAATTTTAAAAATAAGAAAAATGCCAAAAGGAGACTAACAATCACCACTATTTTTAAAAAATTTGATAAAAAACAATTCCTTCTTAATTTTAAACACTGTAGAGAAGTAAATATTTGATGATAATAATAATAATAACCCGAATCCTGAGACTCAAAAGTAAGTGATTTCAACTCCTAAATATATAGGTACTCTCTCCAAAGGTGGTTCTAGAACTTGATGTCTTGAGAAATTCTCTTCCCGTAGCTTATCGCTCCCACATTTGCTTCTTTCTCAATAAAAGTAGAAGTAGACGTGGGCAGCTATTTAATCTCCACTTGAATTTCTGAAAATTAATTAGCAGATCACAGCCTGAGGCAACTGCCTCCCTTGAAATGTTCCATTCTTCCAGAACCCATCAATTTTCCCCAAATTGCTCTTCTGCTAGTATTCATGATTAATTCGCTCAATAAGCTGTTAATTAGTATCTGGACTCTCAGATATTCTTTGCCTGAATTTTTTTCTGAGAATATAAAACAAACATTATTTCTCATGTTATCGTCTGCTTTTGCCTAAATTTGATACTGTAAAAATATACTGACTATTTCTAAGTAAAGTTCTTCTAACCATATCCATACCATTTCTCAAATGCTTTTTCTTTGCACCACATACTTTTTAAAAATTATGTTTTTATGTAATTCAGAGAGGAAGGGAGAGGGAGAGAGATAGAAACATCAATGATGAAAGAGAATCATTGATCAGCTGCCTCCTGCACACCCCACACTGGGGATCGAGCCTGCAACCTGGGTATGTGCCTTGACTGGGAATCGAACCGTGACCTCCTGGTTCATAGGTCGACCCTCAACCACTGAGCAATGGCAGCTAGGCTGCACCACATCCTATCAAATAAACAGGTAATATGCAAATTGACCATCACTCCAACACACAAGATGGCCACCACAAGATGGCCAGCAGGGGAGAGCAGTTGTGGGCAATCAGGCCAGCAGGGGAGGGCAGTTGGGAGGGACCAGGCCTGAAAGGGAGGGCAGTTGGGGGCAATCAGGCCTGCAGGGGAGGGCAGTTGGGGGGGGGACCCAGGCCTGCAGGGGAGGGCAGTTGGGGGCAACCAAACCAACAGGGGAGGGCAGTTGTGGGGGACCAGGCCTACAGAGGAGGGCAGTTGGGGGGAGGGGACCAGGCCTGCAGGGGAGGGCAGTTGGGGGCGACCAAGCCAACAGGGGAGGGCAGTTGGGGGGGACCAGGCCTGCAGGGGAGGGTAGCTGGGTGTGACCAGGTGGCAGGGGAGGGCAGTTAGGGGTGACCAGGCCAGTAGGGGAGGGCAGTTAGGGGCAATCAGGCCATCAGGGGAGGAGTTAGGTGTCGATCAGGCTGGCAGGGGAGCAGTTAGGCATCGATCAGGCAGGGGAGGGCAGGTGGGGGCAATCAGGCAGGCAGGCAGGTGAGCAGTGGGGAGTCAGAAGTCCTGGATTGTGAGTGGGATGTCTGACTGCCTGTTTAGGCCCAATCCTGGTGGGCAGTCAGACATCCCTCAAGGGGTCCCAGATTGGAGAGGGTACAGGCTGGGCTGAGGGACACCCCCCCCCCCCCCCACGAAATTTGTGCGCCAGGCCTCTAGTTCTTAATAATGTTATTTACCACATCTTATAATTACTCTGTGCTTTGCTATTACTTCACAGGCATTCTGAGTAGCAGTTTAAGTAATATCTTTTTTAAAAAGTAGAGAACATTTAATATTTTATGTTATTTGAGTATTTGATAGACACTTTAAGGCTATCATAGATATAATATATTAATATTTCAGCAATTATAAAGGAGACTATACAAAGAATGGGTAAAAACATCAAAAAATGCTTATTTCTCAATGTAGAGCTCCATTGCCATGTACTTGATAATCAAACTCTGGGTAGAATGCCTGATTAAAATCCTCAGATAATCTCCAGACCTCATTTTGTTCAATACTTGCAAAGTCTAACCTTTGAATCATTTTTTTTCACAGTGAATAGAAAAGCAGAGCAATTTGGGCTTCATCTTTTTCTTTCCTTTACCTATTTAGTTGGAGAATAGCTAATGAACGTGCCTTTTGAATAAATCAAAGAGGTACCCCAGTCTCAAAGGAGATTCTCAAACTCCGCAAAATTGAGTTAGCTGTAATCTTTATGGTAAAGATGGATAGAAAAAAAAATGCAAATCTAAGGATTTTATTGACTTACTCATGAAGCTAACAATCATGATTAACTCAGAGACATCAGAAAGCAATTTAATAAAATAACCTGGCTCAGGAACATTCTATTCTATCTAATCAATGTCCTTGAGTTTAGAAATTCAGTGATAAACTCAGCTTATTTATGAAACCAGTATCTTGGATGTTCCAAAGACAGAAGAGAAAACAACTCATTTTGTTGTTATTCCCTGCACCTTGGTTCACGCTATCCATTTCCTAGATGCTCATCTACTCGTATTATTACTGAAGCCATGGCAGAAAGAGCGCGTTTAAACTCTTGGTATTAAGAAAGAAAGAAATCAAAAGAAGCTAAAATTATACAATAATGTAGGTTAAGCAGTGGAATATGTTCTGGTAATTGAAGAGTGGGCCAAAGTCAGGGAGTGTAACCTACTTAAGAGGTACGAAGGAATGATATTCCTTTTTTCCCTCTGCAGTGATGGCATGCAGCTCTTTTCAAGTAAAATGATCAACATGGCATCAAACTGATTCTATTCAGGGCATGAATATATCAGCCCCAAGAATAACTTCTTATTGAATCCTTTCCCAGTAGGGAATCAAGATCTTTATTATAAGCCTTCATGAAGCTATACATGGGCCGGCCTTCAGGGTTGTGTCTAAATTAAATAGCAAATTATCTAGTCCAAGACACGTTTTTATGCATCATGGGGAAAATATAAAAGGATTGATTTTTAGATTCATTCTATCATTCTTGTGTCCAGAAGTTCTTTAAAAAGTGTTTCACGTCTCATTATTCTCTTTAAATGCCTTCTCTCCTGGGAATATGCCTATAATATTTAGATAGTGATATTCCTTGCCAATTAGCGCACAGGGCACTTTTTAAATTACATATACTACTGAATGCATTCCTTTCCAAACAATTGCCTCCATTTGTGTAGATTTTTTTTTCCGTCTCTACTTGATAGTTGGCTCCTTGACAACCAGAACTGGGATTTATTTATTGCTATATTTTTCCAGTACTGAGAACAGTGCTTGCAATGCTACTTGGTAAGAACTGATTGAAAGATAAATAATTCAATATTGTTGGAAAAAACTGCAAGTCATATTACTGTAAGAAATTATTTACAAAGTGTTCATATCTGAGCACTGCTGATCACTCATGTAATTTTAAAGTGTGGCTAAAATCACTCCCCTGTCCTAATCCTTTCTGATAATCTTTTGAATTTAATTAGAATAAAAATGTCTTAACTTCTCTTGCTTATACTGATGGATTATGTTCCCACAGTAAAATGTGTGAGGAATATAAAGTTTTATCATCCATTTGGTTTTTTTTCACTTCCTAAGTTAGTAATTTTATTTTATTAATTTATCTTAATTGTCGTTGTGATTTGAGAAGATGCTTGATATGATTTCAATCTTCTTGAACTTGTAGAGATTTGTTTCGTGCCCTAACATGGTGTCTATCTTTGTGAATGACCCAAGTGCACTTGAGAAGAATGTATATTCTGTAGCTTTGGGGTGAAATGTTCTATAAATGTCAATTAAATCCACCTGATCCAGTGTGTCATTTAGAGTCACTGTTTTCTTAATTTTTTTGGCTGGAAGATCTATCCAGGGATGTCAGTGTTGTGTTAAAGTCCCTGCTAAGATTGTATTGCTGTCAATTCTCTTTATTGGGTGCATGTATGTTTACCAGAGTTATATCCTCTTGTTGTATCAATCCCTTTCATGGTTTCTGATAACTTTGACATTGGAAATTCCTATGGTATCAACATGGCCAAATCCTTGCCTCTTGGGATGTTAATGCATCCAAAAGAATGAGAGTGATGCCCTCAAGCATTACACAGAGACAAAGGTGAATGCATTTCATTAATAGACATCTGCATCATTTTCTTTCGGTCTGACTTTTATTAATCTTGGCAACATTGTTTTTTTTCTACTTTATTTTAAATAGTTATTCTATATAGTTGATCTTGAACAACATGGTGGTTAGGGTGCCAATGCCAGCTCCGCCCCACTCCCTCCAGTTGAAAACCCATATGTAACTTTTGACTCCCGCAAAAACTTAACTACTAATATACTTTTGAGCAAAAGCCTTCCCAATATGATAAATAATTGCTTAACATATGTTTTGTGTTATATATATATATTATATACTGTGTTCTTACAATAAAGTAAGCTAGAGAAAAGAATAGGTAATTAAGAAAATCATAAGGAAGAGAAAACACACTTACAATATTTATTTTTAAAAATCTGTGTTTAAGCTAATCCACACAGTTCAAATCCAGATATTGAAGGGTCAACTGTAGTTTAACGGATGAGAAATATCAAGCAATCTAACTTAAAAAAAATTCTGCTTCTCTACTCAGAAGTTAATATTTCATCCTAAACTAAATACAAACCTCATAAAACAGTATCATAGGTGGAATAAACTTAAATACAGTCAATCCTCATTATTCATGAATTCCATTATTTGTAAACTCACCTCCTTGCTAAAATTGATTTGTAACCACAAAATCAATATTCAATGTGCTTTAATAGCAGTTTGTGGACATGTGCAGAGTGGCAAAAAGTTCCAGTCACTGGTCACACAAGTTCCCAGCTGAGGTCAAACAAGGTGTCACTGGGCCTCTCTGTGTCAGTTTTCATACACAGATTACCAGAGGATGGAGACCATAGAGGGCAGTACAGAAGTGAAAGAAGCTCCAGCTCTGGGACCAGGTGGACAGGATTTGACACCCTTCCTTGGTACCTATTACTGGAACAGTCGCAGACAAGTTATTTAAAACTTCTGAACCTCATTTTCTTTGTGTAAAGAAAGTGGAATCTATCAGGACAGGTTCTTCTTATGATTTATGATTATAATGTATGTGGTGATATATAATGGTTCAGTATTCACTAATTGAATGTTTGCAGGAATTTTATAGAGCATAATTACCATGATTAATGAGAATCCACTGTATTTAGTCATGCGCATATTTATTCTGTTTTCATGCACATAAACCTGTACCACATAAGAGAATAAGAAAAGTATAAATTATCTATACTAATAAAAGGGTAATATGCTAATGGTTGGGATGCCCTCACATGTAACGACTGATCAGCAGGCTTCGTGTGCAGCAGGTGTGGGTGAGCGGAGATTTGCAGCATCAGGGACTTGTGTCACAATCCATCACCAGGAGGCCTGGGGCCCAGCGGAGGCCTCTGTGCAGAACCACAGGGGGTCCGCAGGCCTCCGCATGGCCTGGCCTGGAGGTGGGGCCTGGCAGAGGCCTGGGGGTCCCTTGGCTAGGCATGGTGAGGCCTGGGGGTCCCGTGGCTCTGCACAGCGTGGAGGCAGGACCTCCAGCTGCAGCCTACCTCTTTGGGGCAATCCATTGAGGAGCCCTGGATGGGTAGGCAGGGCCTACCTCTTTGGGGTGATGGATTGCAGGGCTCCCACACTGTGACAGGGCACAGGCCAGGCTGAGGAACCCCCCCACCCCTGAGTGCACAAATTTTGTGCACCGGG